TAAGCTAGCGGAACAACATGAAAAGCAAACAAAAAAGGAAAAAAAAGACGCAAGAAAAATAAAAAAAAAAAAAAAGAAACGAATAAACGAAAAGAAACACACGTATATATATATATATACATATATAAACAGAAAAGATAAGAATAAAACAACAATTAATTAACTAAACAACAGAAAGCAAGAGAGAAGTATACACACAGCGGTACAGGCATCACTATGTTTTAAATGGTTAATAAAATGCAGATGTCCGTGTATTCGCTCGGACACTTTTTCAACTGAGTTCTCGCTGTCTTTTTACGGTTGTATTATTATTATTTTATCAAACGCTCTTTATCAAACCCTTGTTTCTCTTCATTTTGCTTTGCTTTTCCGCGATTCAGCCCTGATTCCATTGCAACGTCGACGTTCCATCGACGATCAATGGATCATCATTGCGAAATATCTTTGCGTTTCTCTTCCATCTTTTCGTCGACGAACGATGTACGAGTATCCCTCATCGTGAAGGGAAGCATGTCGCCAGAATCGGTCACGAATTCGGGGGACCCGCGCATCGCGTATGCGAGCATCGACGTTACCGGTTCTTCGCTTCCTGCATTCTTTAGCTTCTGTCGCAAATCGTAAACCTACGCGTAAGCAGGAAGAGATCGCGATCCCGTCGTGTCGGATTAAAAAGAAAACAGAAAAGAAAAAAAAAAGGAAAAAATAGAGTTCACTACATCGGACGAGTACGAGTTTATTTAGTGCGGTATGAACGTTGGTTTAGAGTTCACTACATGTATAATTATATTCGGTGGAAGAGATATAGTAAGATTATAAATCGAAGCATTAATTAAACAGTGACAGTTTAAATCTCAATCTGTCGAAAGGTCATTGGTAAAGTGGCGTAATTATTACATTTTTTCTATAACGTGTCTAGAATTTTATGTACGATTTTTTAAAGATACCACGAGAGAGAGAAAAATAGAACAATTGTAATCTAATCTTGTACGTTTCTAATTCCAATTGAAGTTACATCTTTCAGACACGTAGACGTGTGTGTGTGTGTGAAATTATTGCTTCGACTCTTAAAACATACAAAATTTCATACGTTGCCAATTTTATGATGTTACTGCATCTCTTTCGTCGATAATACGTACCTGTTATCACTTAAGCGCGCAATCAAAGCAACCGTACGATCGAAGCGAAAATACAAAATAAAAAAAAAAAAAAATAGGAAGGATGTAACGATCAACGCGGAACAAATTTGATCAAAAGAGCCTCGCGTTCATCTAAGCCATAGATGGAAACTCATTGGGGGAGATGAAGGAGGATCAAACTAAACGTCCCTTTTTATAACTTTGCATCGAATTCAGCGAACCACGAATTCTTTTTTTTCTCGGGACTCGGAAAAACAAATTAGCGCGTGTTTCTTCTCTGCTCTATATCTAACTGTGCTTTTAGCGCGACACACACGATGAAAATATATACACAATTACACGTACGCGTAGCGTAGATTTTTACTCGATGCTCGTAGAGAGAGATTCGAATCGTCTAATTGTAATATGTACGATGAAATGTAGAAAGCAAAAGGAAAGAAAAGAAACTCTGTAGAGCAAAGATACTGACACACGTGCATACATATACACATACACACTCGATATATATAATAACTGTGTATTCTTCGACGTAAGATTTTTCTTGTAGTTTTTCAATCGTGTTAGTCGCTAAGATCAACTACCTGTCCTAAGTAACTGACCAAAACGGACTAACGTTATCTTCCAGAAAGCTATGGTAAGGCGATTGAGAGTGGTTTAACTATATTTCACTACTTCAATGTATTTCATATATGTTCGAGAAGAGACGCGAAAAAGATGATCGAACGTGAACTCATGCTCGCGAGTCTGTATCTCTCATCTAAGTTCTTTACAGTTTTACAAATGGCTAGAGTTCTTCGCATTTTGACAATGATAAAAATATCTGACGCCTAAACAAATAGAACTTTGCGTTATTAATTTTCGACAAACGGAAAAAAAATATGGCCAGTTGCTTTGCTGGTTGAACTACGATTGAACTAGCTTTATCCTTGAAGAAGAAAATAAGACAAAGAACATATCAGTATCATGGTCGTCGATACGAAAAAAAAAAAAAAAAAAAGAAAAGAATCTGATATTCTCTTCTGAAAAATTTCTAAAAGGAAGACAGTTATATTCTTCTCCTGTTTTTCTTTTTTTTCATTCGTCCTTAATTTTTCGAAGAACGTACCGTTCACCTAGATAGTACAATAAAAAGTAGAAGTTCCTTGTAAACGTGCTAAGAGACAGACAGGACTGTTTTTAATTACAAAAAGCGCGCATCCTAATTAAACCGAAGTAGCCAAGTTACAAATCGTAGCAGACTCTAGTTAAACGAATCGAACAAATGAAATAAATTTCAATCGACAGGCAGCCAGTTACCAGACTTTTCAAATACACGCTTGTTATGATAAATAATGATAATTGTTCGATCGACGATGAAATTAGTTCGACGCGAAAGCAGTATCCTGGACACGAGAAAAAAAAAAAAGAAAAAAAAAAACGAAAAAGAAGAAATGTAAAAAGTGCAGGAAGCCTTAAAATACAACTGAGGTTGCAACTTTGGCGAAATAAAAAAATAAGAAAGAAAAGGAAAAAGAAAAAAGAAAAATGTATGCACCAATATTAACGCGCTTTTCTGTGTCGTAAAAAAGAAAAAAAAAAAAATTATTCGTCCTCGAGCATGATATATGTGTATATTTCTCGCCGAAATGAACGATGTGCAGATTTTTTTTTTTTTCTTTTAAAAAAAAATTGAAATAATAACTGTTTCAAGATTATACGTAGCCGTCATTTATTATTAATGCAGTCGACGTACAATATCGTCATTTGCTTAACGCGAGTAAAAGTTTCAATGATGCCGATGAGTTCAGGATAAACACAAGAAAGCAGAAAAGAGAAATGGATTACGTACTATCTAAGCATGCGACTGAATAATCAACCTGAAAATTATTGCAATATTGCGCGACATTGTAGAAGATAATAGTCAACGATTGTATAAAGAGTACGACATTTATGAGCAATGTTATATAAGTATGTGTATATATATATATATATATATAAACAAAAAGTACATACATATATATGCGTATACTTGTAATAATTGATAAAACCAGGGTAAACATTAATTATTATCTATGTGTAATATTTAAAGGGCGCCTGGAGCGCGATCCGCGCACAGCTGCTCTGTATGTCACTGTAATAGTTATGCGTGTTTGCATTTACGAAATAGGAAAAGAAAAAAAATGTATATTATATAACACTAACATTAATAATAATAATAATAATAATAATAATAATAATAATAATAATAATGCTAATAATAATAATAACGATAGATATGCCCGGTGATACATATTTATTGTAAATAACGGTAATAAGAACTAATCGTACGTTTCTCAATTCGTAACACGCCAGCCTTGTTCGTATCGAGAATCGCAATAATTTAAAAAAAGAACGATGAACAAAATTAATGAAACAAAGTAACGTTGCGTGTAACGTGTTGAGAGAAAAATCGAGAGCAGAAAAAAAAAACAGATAACTAAGTAGACTGTCGTAGGTTTATTACTCGTTATTATTGCTCCTGCCTATTCGCAAACTTTGACTGTAATTATCTTGTAAACACGTTGGACCAAGTCGTTGTGAGCATTAGCTGTAAATTAGTAGAGTACCGTTTCGCCGGTTTCGTGGTCGTCGAAACGCTGAGTTCAAACGCTCGAACAGAAATTCTTGTAGCTTGTATCGAGAATTTACCGATTGTCCAAGCGAGGAGGATCGATCTAATAAAACAGTGTTTATCGTTTTACAGCATTAAAACAAGTCGTTGAGTGCGTGGCATGTTCCGTAATTATAGCGCCTATCTTCTTTACCTAGGAGGTATACATCGATTTTAAATCTCGTTTAAAGAATCGACTGTTACTACTCGATTTCATTGCGATCGGGTACTTGAATCGTTCGTATCAATGAGTTAGTAATCGTCGAATACCGTTTCTCGTGACTCTACTTTTTAATAGTCTGACAAATCCAAAGTAAACGAGAATACAGGCTACGAGAGATGCTTTACTCTCTCTTTCTAAGGAGGAGTCAAGCTCTGCTCGAACTCTCTTTTTTGTATTTTGTACACGCGACGCTCACATCGACAAGGCTTGCAAAACGGAAGACTTTCGTAGACCTCGAGATATTTGCTAAATTTTACTATCGTGTTATCTCTCGCGAATCGCTTAATGGACTTTTACAAGATCATCGTGTTGGTAACTTTTTGAAAACAAGAAAGAGGAACAGTTTTAACTTGCAACTAGATTGAAACGTGAAATTGCGACGTGTCGTTCCTAGAGAAAATAAACATTCTTAGCAAAAGTAGCTACTTTTCAAACGCACTATTCGTTTCTTTTCGATAATGGCACCAGTGAGGATCGCGTAAATCGTTTCCGTGTGGTGAAAATAAAACGTCAAACTCTAGCAAAGTCACGGTAAAACAATTGGAAAGTTATCCGTCATTACGTCAATGTTGCATTGTTTGTGTAATAACAAGCAAATTATTACTATCATGGTATATATTGATAGATCGATGATAATAATGTAACGATACTACTACAAAATGAATGTTGCCTTTTATCACATTGGTTAATCATAAACAAAAAACGTAAGGGAAAACTTAATGAATTACATACGATTGTATTAACGACGACTAATAACTATAAATACTATCTATTGTATTATGAGTACTAATAACAATTACTGTGTACAATATGGAGGTTCGTATGATTGTAAATGATATGTGTTGCGTTGATGTGTAACGCGTCCCTATATTAAAATGGGGGCTGTGAAAATAAATCAACCAGACACTTTGTTGGCCTTCTATATTGCCCTGACACACAGGAATATTATATATACTTGATATGAGTCGACTGAAATGTTTTTAATAAACACTAGTGCCTCAAATGTGACAAGTTTCAGTTATATTCATTTATTTTTCGTTCGTAGGTATAGTATAAATATTACATCTACTTGCACGAAGACAGAATTAACAGTCAACAAATATGTGCGAATCGTATCATTACATTTCATCACTCAGTATCTATCGGAACAAATGCGTTTACCAACAGTTCGTTTATAAATGCGTATAAATCCATTATGACTGAATAAACGGAAACACTATTAGCCAGAAGTATTATGTGAACTATTCTTAATTACTGCCATTTGCGTGGTCGTTTTTACATATTCTATAGGAAATGATTTTGATGGTATATGAAAGAAGTATCGCATAAATCCTATTGCCAGTAGAAGGTGCATCCCAAGGACTACTACGATATATATTATCCTATACCTTCCTAAAAATTAATTTGTTTTATTAAATTATTCTCATAAACATGCTTATTTTTATATATAATACCTGATATTAGAGGTAACAATGATCTCAATAATACTCCTCCAGATAAGAAAGTTGCTACTGCAACTAAACTCCATTGTAGCCACTCGATTTGAATTGTCCATAAAAAAGTTACTGGGATATAGATGGCTAAAGAATATCCATAAAGGCATAAAAGCTCCAAAAGTCCAGGTGTTGTATAAGACTAAAACAATTGTACCCTCGGCATTATTATATACTATCTTTCAAAAAAGATGAATGATTATTGTCAAACCTCGATTAATTCTTCTTCTGTGTTCCTTGAATTAGTAGTCCACTTTAATGCACCCCACAACATAAGAGGTAATAGCCATGCGTACAAAAATATACATGTGGCAGCATAAGATACAATATGAAACTCGTATCTCCAATGGTATTTGCTGGAATTAGCTGTTTGCAAATAACTAGCCAGATTTCCACTAATCGCTATAGAAAATATTAGCGTAACACAAATCCAGAATGGACCATAAAGATCTGGATTCGGTCTGATATGAGATATCAAGTAATTATCAGTGTTATGTGGAAACATGGACCTTTTGATTCTTTCCACCACGTCATTTGTCTTTACATTGAAAAATTTTTGGTAATACTCTATTGTCCAGAAACTGTGCGATACAGCTAGAAGAAAAAAAGGAAGTATAGTTCTTTTTTTTTAAAGAGATGCACAAGTACTTGACATTGATGTGACACGAGATCTTAAATTGTAATATTCACCATAGAAGTGAAAAAACAAAAAGTGCAAAAACCGTTATAAAATTACTCCTAACTAAACAAAAGACCATAAAAGCATAAACCTTCATTTTTATTAGGCATTCCTTGTAAATCTTCAATGATACCGATTCCTGTAGGATCATTTGAGAGGTTATTAAAACCTTGATGACTGGAGGTATTGACGTCCAACTGAGCTTGGGCAATGTTTCCTTCATGATTTATCGAAGGAAAGTCTTGAAACGAAATAAATTGTGACTCACTTGCTTTCGACTGACTTCCATCCATAGCTATTTATTTTGCACTTTTGCCCATCCGTTTGACAAGAGTGGCACGTATACATTGCAAAAAGGATGTAAATATATATATATGTACACACACACATACACATGTACACAACGTTTTGCTCGACCAATCCAAATTAAGTGTCGTCAGTTAAAATTTACTGTTATATTTTTTATTAACTTTACTTTTTATTTGAATAAATAAAAAATTGCCAAACAAAATATATGTACATATATGTATATATATATATACGATACTTTTAATAAAACTGTACATCAATCATGCATAAATTTATGTAATTGAGTCTCAAATCTCTTAATTTTATATACATATATACGACCAATATATGTAATATGTATAACTAAGGTAATGTATAGAAAACAAAATTACTATAATTATCCGTAGTTTACTATGATAGAATGATATAAAAGTAATTTGCTATTATTAAAGCAATTAGTAGACTTAATAGAATGATTAATATCTTGATATATTTATATCAAAATAAATATGAAAGATGCAAAGATTTGGACTATCGCTATTATTTTTTTTTCTACGAGAATTTATGTATCTAATAAATTCGAAAAGTTTATAAATTACAAGCGCAAATGAAATATATTTATCTAGCTATGTGATGTATCATATAGGTACCCTATTAGCCTGGCTGAATTTAGACAGTAGTTGATTACCTTTCTGACAGTTCAAAAAGAACTTATTAGAACGTTCTCATAAGGTCAAAATAACATCGAACGATATTTTTTTTCGTACAGTATTACCAACAATGTATTCCTTTGTATAAAATAAGTGAACGAGAAGGAAGATAAAGGTATGTTTTGAAATGTTTTGTTACTTAAGTTTTTAGTACATATGCATAATTTCTTTTAGTTTGGTACTTTTGTTTCTACGTTTCATAAGAAGAAATTATTTTTTAGGATATAACATTTAATTATTAGTAATAATTGCTAGCCATTGGAATAAGTTTTATTTGTTTCTGGATAGGTTAGGTGGCTCACACTTTCTCCTAAAATTCTGCAACACTCAACAGTGACCAAGTATTAAAAAATGTTAAAACGAGCTCCTAATCTTCTGAAGTTTCTTCAGAATATCAGCCATTACAATAAAGAATATTTATACATGTTTCAAGTGGGATACGCAAGAAGGCACGTTAGTACTTTAATAACCTGTAACTATAATGCGAGATACAAGGTGCAAATTGTTGCAAATCCTCGAAAGATCTTTAGTGTAAACAGTGTACAGCATTCACAAGAATGGAGATGGATCCTTATTACAGTTTCCAAGCCGATATCTGTTATAGCAAAAGTACAGAAAGAAGAAACGGGAAATTCAAGTAAAAAGACAGAGAGCGATGTACAAAAAATAATAGAATTAAAACAAGAAAATTTAGGACAGTTAAAAGAAAGGAAGTTAGATGTTAAATCTGATGAGAGCCAGGCTAAAGAAGGTCAACAGAATGCGAAGACAGAAGGTACAGAAGGAATTATAGTCAAAAAAGTATAATAAAAAATTTTTTGATTTTTCAGTCATCTTTTATTTTCATTGATTTTCATCATTGATAATGCCATTTATATTTTATTCTGTTTTACTTTCAGTTAAAAAGAAGAAAATGGATAAAAGGGTGTCGTCTTTAGAACGTAATTTTATTACACCGGTTAGAGCCATGTCTGATTTTTTGTTGAAACCATCTGATCTTGAAAATTTACCAAAGACAAAAAGAAGATCACCTTATGAATATGAACCTCCAATTACTGTTTACTGGAGAAAAGATGTGGAAGCTAAGTAAGCTTGTATATTTTGATTGAAATCCAGTTCTAACGTAAATGTAAATTACACAGTAATGTTCAAGATACTGTGTTTACTTTCAGAGCAATAGAAGTTTGGGGATCAAGGGAAACTTTAATGAAAGAACTTCTTAAAAAAGAACTTGAACAGAAAGCGTATCAACAAAGTAAAAACAATATTTTTTTCTTTTATCTACATATAATATTCAACTGGTGTAAATATTTCAATTTGAATGTTCTATAATTTCATAGATATATTTACTGTTAAACGAAGATTAAGAGATTATAGGCGAGAAATAGGTAGCAAAGCCCAGGTTTTTGAACAAGAAGGACTTTTTGGAAGATCTGGTAAAGTAGTTTTAACTGCTATTGCAATGTAAGCTCTATTTTCTTACTTTATTTGAAAATATTTCGTCATTCGTGTACTAATTTATCTTTCTTTTTTTTTTTTGTTTTTTTGTTTTTAGCAATGGATGTAATTTTTTATTTAAGCTGTGTGCGTGGTTATATACTGGTTCCCATAGTATGTTTTCAGAGTGTGTACATTCTGCTGCAGATACTTGTAATCAATTAATATTAGCGTATGGTATACATAAATCAGTACAAGTAGGCACAAAATTATATCACATGAAATTAAAATAAAACTACTTGCTTTTCATCTACTACTCATATCATTTTAAATATTTCAGACTCCTAATCCTGATCATCCGTATGGCTATACAAACATGAGATATGTATCTTCTTTAATATCTGGTGTCGGTATCTTTTGCGTTGGAACTGGTTTATCTGTTTATCACGGAATTCACGGTCTTTTATATCCTTCAACTATAGAATCGCTTTATTGGGCATATTTTATCTTAGCCGGTTCCTTGGTATCCGAGGGAGCAACCTTGTTAGTAGCAATACAATCAATAAAAAGAGGTGCTGAAGAAAAGCGACAAACATTTAAAGAATATGTATTAGGAGGTCAAGATCCGTCCGTAAATGTTGTGCTCATGGAAGATTTCGCAGCGGTAAGTGTTTATTAAAAAAAAATAAGCATAGAAACGTTCGCAGTTGTTAAATGCGAGGTGTTTTTTTTTAATTTGTTAGGTACTTGGTCTTGTATGTGCTGCTGTTTGTATGAGTTTAACTTCTTTTTTCGGAAACTCGATGTTTGATGCCACTGGGTCCCTTTTAGTCGGTGGTTTACTTGGCGCTATAGCCGGGTTTATAATACATACAAATGCTGCTGCTTTAATTGGAAGAAGTATATCTCAAGAAGATCTAGACAGGATTAATGCGGAATTGGAAGCGGATATAATGGTTTTATTTTTATGATTGTAGCACAGTAATATTGTATGCACAAATATCTTTATTTGAGTTAATCGATTTTGTAATAATTAGGTTCGAGCAATTTATGATGTCAAGGGTATCGATATGGGTAATAATTTGGTTCGATACAAAGCTGAATTAGACTTTGATGGCAGGGAATTAACAAGGTCTTACTTGGAGAAACACGATCTTGTCCAGATGTTAAAGGTAATAGCTTAGTGTCCATCTTATATTGAGTTAAAAATTATTATACTCCTCAGGAAATAACAGAGATGACAGACATAAAAGAATTGGAAGCATTTATGTTAAAGCACGGTGAAGCTATTGTTGATATGCTCGGTGGAGAGATAGATAGAATGGAATTAAATCTGAAGGTATCTCAGAAACGTTTTACATATAACGTTTAACTTTTAACTTTTTGACATTACGATTTAATATTTTTCTTTGATATTTGCAGAAAAAACACCCCGAAATTCGGCACTGTGATCTGGAAATCTTATAAGTACAGTACGGGGATTAATAAACGGCTTATATTTCGATGTAAATAATGTTTCATAATAGCACTTGTGCAATGTATCCTATTTACTATATCTTATTTATATATTATTTATATAGATATAGTATGCGTATTATTCTTTATACGCTAAAGAAAGAAACAAGCTAAATAAATTTAAATTTCTTATATATAATTACCTCCTACTTTAAATTTATTGATCTTACAATCTCACTATACGTATCGTGCAAAATATGAGTGTTACATATTGTCTTAAATTATTGATTTTTTCCAAGTATCTCTCGTAGCATATTACAAGCGACAACAGACGGTTACTATGGATACTTTCCCCTATTTACGAAAGAATTCTCAGGTATTAAAGTGTTCTTGTTTCCAGTGAGGCAGACACGTTCAAATATGACGTATTTTAATCACATTAGAAAGATTGAACATTTTTACGCCATTGGAAAATCAATAAAATGAATCGATTGAACGAAAGAGTTTCAAGACGATGGAGTACCCCGGGAACCTCGCGGAGAAACCATTCAAGCAGTAGTGAGGAATCTTCGTCACTTACCGACAGCACTGAGCATTCACTATGTGTGCAAAATACTAGCACGCCTCTTAGATTTGAATGGTCAAATTCAGGAGAGATCAACAGGTCCCGACGAGGACAAGGAGATATCGAGGACACAGAAGAAGTATTCTCTGACAAAAAGGAATTGAGAAAATTTCAGAGACAGAAAGAGCGTGCCGACCGAAAGAGATATCAGGACAATCATGAAAGACTGAGAGAAGGACACGACCGACGTGAGAGACAAAGGCACGATAAACGTTTTGAAGATTCTGCGAATAAAAGGCAGAAGAAAACATCTAGTTCAGAATCTTCGAACAAGAATTATGGTGAAAGCGACTTTGAACGCTCGAAAAAGAAGAAACGAGGTTTCATAGTTAGAAATATTGGAATTTTATCGTTGAATAATTTAATGCTTTGATACGGAAAAAATATATTTTCAATTTTTTGTAGGAAGTTTTTCAAAGGATTTTTAAAAAATTTTCAGATTCAATTTTGAAAGATTTATATAAAAGATGTAAAAGTATTAAATTAAAAGGAAGATTTTAATTTGTTTTACAGGTGACAATGAATTGCCCATTACGGAAATATTAAAAAGGTCGCAAGAGAATGCGCATACTAAATACGAGCACGAAGCGCCACTACCTGTATTAACAACGGATAAGGTTTACGTACAGCATAGGGGTGGTTTCAGTGCAATGAAAATCAATCAAATAAAGAATTCGTCCAGTGATAAAAAAACTGAAAGAGAAAGCAGCGTTGACCTTGACGATGGTCAAAATTCTCCGCCTATAAAGATGGCCATTATGCTCCAACAATTTTGGAAAAATACAGGTTTTTTATACCAAGGTCTTTTAGGCGGATTGGCGCTTGTGCATTTTATAATGGTATATTTCTACTTTACTTTAGAAAAAAATCTTTTTGTTGTTGTGCTTTATTCTTTATTTAAATCTCCTTTCCAGTTACACGTATTTTTCAATAATTCCATGGAATTCATTATGAAATACTCGACATTTTGCGAAATTTATACAAACGTCTTTTCATTTCTTATTGTCATGTGTATCGTTACAACGTTCGACAGGTACGTTCGATTTATATTAACAAAATACGTTTCCTAAATTCTAAAATTTCTTATGATCGTTAGATTTGATTTAGCACGATTCGACGTGGAACATCTGCGTGAGCTTTACTTCGACTACAACAAAGCAGTAATAGCAGTTCCTTTGTACCTCGTCGTTTTCTGTCTTCATCAAGTCAACGCAGGAACCGACAATCAATTAACTTTAATACACTATTACAATTCTAATGACTCCGCGTGGCAAAATGTACGCAGAAGATAACATTGTTTAGCGATGGTGACTTTTGAACAAATTTTGTTTCAGGTAACTAATATTCAATCTCTTCTGGATGACTTAAATAGTTGGCAAAAGATATCGATGTCTAAAGATTTACTCGCATTCTTTGCCTGGTTGTTCATTTCCCTTGGTACCAAGGATGATTCGTTTCTAATGTACTTGCAATCGATGGAGAAGTATGCGAACGATATTGAGTCTTCCAGACGGTAAACTGATCAAACTTTCTTCGGTAAAGATGCATTAATTAAGGATAGGATACATATAATATAGAGGAATTTAGATATAATTAATAATTGATAAATATTAATTATTAAGAATATTTGAGATTTTACTCACGAAAGTTCGTTGCAAGATTGTAAATGAGTACTTAAAATTATTATATCGCGTCTTAAATTGAATTCCCCGTAATTATAGGTTCTTTATTTTACGCAAGAAGATTTGTAAATTAATTCAATATAACGTAGAGCATAAGTTCGATTCTACCATTGACTAGGTCTAATCCATGTAATAATTAATTGATTATATAAAGATTTGTGTCTGAAAGTGTGTGAAATTTATTATAACATACTCTTAACTATGTTTACAAACAATTTTGATTTAAATTTGGTACGTAGTTTGCAAAAAAAAATTAAATTTTATCGAAACGAATGCTTCGATCTATTGAGTAGAATTTGTAAATATTTATACATTTTATAGATTAAATGGAATATCGGAGGAAAGCTGGGAGTCCAATTTGGAAAATTCAATCGTAAAAGTTTGCAAATTAATCGGTTTAATTAGTTTGTTTTGCTAATAAAAATAAGGTCGATTCATGGACATTCTATGTTTGTGTTGTCGTACACTATTGCGTTCCTTGTTTAAGATTGGTAGTGCCATCTATCGGAGTTATCTATTTCATCGCTTTAGTTTTACTTAATGTTTAATTCGAATCAAAACTCAGAGGTGGCAGCACACGTCTTGTACGAATGGTGCTGCCATCTAAAGACAACTGAGTTTTAAGTCGAACTAAAATGATGAAATGAAAAATTTCGATAGATGGCGGCACATCAGTTAGACAAGGATAACATCAGTGTGCGATAAGGATAAGATATATATTGTGTGTTAGACAAGGAAAGCAACAGCATGCAATAAAGATAGACATATGCTGTATATTAAACAAGGAGAGACAATAGTGTACGACAAAGACAGAGGTCATGATTAATTTCATCGTTTCACCGCTACGCGCCGCTAGTATTTCAATGCCCAGAAATCGATTAAATTTTCATTTGAGGAGAAAACTAATTAAACGGATTAATTTACACAGTTTTGCGTTTGCATCTTTCAAATTCGAGCCTCAGCTCTCGTCCAATATCGCACATGGCTTATAAAATACGCGCATAAAGATTTAAAAATTCCACTCAATAGATCAAAGTTCCCGCCTCGATAATAACTTCATTTTTTACAAACTGCTTTTCAAATTCCAGTAGAAATTGTTCTTAAAATCTTTATTCAATCGATCGATAATAAAATAATAAAATAATTTTTCTCAATTTTCAGTAATATTTTATTGAAAAAATATTGAAGAAGAGAATAGTCGATCTATAATTTTTGGGTGGCGCTGATCACTTTTCCAGAAAAAAAATTATTTAACAAATTCGAGCTCAATAAGAGCGAAAGAAATCATTGTTCAATTAGTTGGCTTGAAAAATGAACAAATGTTGGCTGTCATGTTGCATTAAAATTCGTTTACGATACTTTGTTTAATCGTACCTCTTATATGTAATTTTTTCGTTCGAATCATTATGAATTCATGTTGAATCGAATGTATATTCATAGTATATATCTATGAGAATTGCGAAATACAAAAATAATTGGGATGTCAGATCTGGCTAAGGAAATTTCTGGCACGTACGATTTCAATGTTTATTCGTAACAGAATAGGGTCTGATATGTACAATATTTATAAAGTTCTAAACTCTAACAGACAGTACACGTACATGTAATACCAATGAAGACAATAACATTGAGAATAAAATAACATATGACGCGATAATAAAATACGTCGTTAGACTTTGCGTTGAGCGCGGTACCGCGTTGGATCGACGATCACGCGAATAAATTTTACCGGTTTCACCGATACCGTAGGAAAACAGAAATTATTCTGCCACCAGTCGAATAAGAGAAAATAAACCAGAAAATCATCAAACGATGGGAAATTGCGCGCACGCAATGTGAATTCAAGCGCGTCTAAAGTCACTCGAAATGGAAACAAAGAAAATTATAAATTACCGCGTGTGCAACCGTCGACGCAACAGCGTGCTCTCTCGTTGTACGACAAACTTTGCTATAAATAATGTGCGAAGGCTCGTATTGATCTGCGAAGCAAGACAGATAAATATATATATATATATATAATATATATAATATATATATGCAATATAATATATATATCATATATGAATAAATACTGTACGTACATTTATTGTACAAATTACTATCGGTTCCCTCGTCACGGAACTTTACATCCGGCGATAATTTAAAATATCTCTGAACTTAACGCTAACTCGTCAAGGCACTGTTCACAGTTCTGTCCGAGCTTCTTTCGTCTGTTTCGCTGAATTTCGACGTCGTCCCCCCCTCCCCGCACGTTCGAAGAAAGATCGGCGCGCGCGTCCTCGATCTTTCCGGTAAAGGTAAACGATCCCTCCTGCTTCTTCGTCGAATATAAATTAAAGAAGCGAAAATGGTTTTTTCGCGTAACGAGAAAACTCGAGGAACGCGGTCGACTTTTTCGTAGAATAGGGAGGGCGGGGGACGATGGTGTTTCGCGATTGCTCGAACAATCGTTTCTCTCTGATCTCCCGTGTTTCTCCCGTGTATGTATGTGTTTCTCGGTGTGTCTGTGTGCGCGTGTGTTTTTGGTTCTAATTTTTTTTTCTTTCTTTTTTTTTCTTTCTTTTTTTTTTTTNTTTTTTTTTTTGGTGAAAAAGCAGGACGACAGAATGGTCCGTTTGATCGACAAATGGGGGACTGGGCTTTGGCCCCGAGAGGAAAACAGCGTCGTGTTTCGATCGCCACCGCAGAACGAGACGCGTCGCTGTCTGACTTTTTACTAGGCTAAAGAACGCTAAACTCGCCCGTGTGTATACCCGTGTATATACCTTTAGAAACATTTGTGCGGATTCGTTTACGGCAGTATTCGAACGGACAGCGTGATTTGTACGACAGCGAAAGACGTTCGTAGCCGTAGAAGATCACTTGTCGCGAGCCAGATCCTGGGGACAGCCATCGGTGATCGATGGCTGGCTGTCCCGTGGTAAAAAAGAAAAAAAAAAAAAAAAAAGAAGAAAAAGAAGACGAACAGCCTCCCTCGCTCTTCCTCGAGAACGAGAAACGGCTCGCCTCGCGAATAAACACGCTTCGAAAAAAACGTGGCATTCGCCTACAACGTTCGCGCATTTCCGAAACGTACTGTCACGGGACAACTTTTCTTTCGTCGAGAGACACGTTGGCGTGATCCCCTTGCCCCTCCTCGGGGGGGAGGGGGGGAGGGGGGGGGCAGTAGTCGAGAATTGAGTCGACAATTGAGATTCATTTAGACGGAGACGTCCTTTTCTCTCCTCTGGCAACCGATCGATTCGATCGGAAGAACGTTTCTCTCGCGGAAGGGAATCGGTCGACGAATCGAAGCGAGCATCTCTCGACGACCGTTCGTTTCGTTATCGAATATCGGTAACTGGGAGCCGGCGCCTCTCTCTTTCACTCTCTCTCTCTTTATCCGTGTTCCTTTCTTTCTTCGTTGAATGCCACTCGGTAGAAAGATGGAGAAACGGCAGCGAGCCCACGACTTTGAAGATCTCTGCGGCGGTGAAGAAGACGCGGACACACGGTGGTGATCCGGGAACGTTCCTCGCGCCGTTTCCTCCATTTTTCCTCCGTTTTCTTTCCCTTTGCAGCCCCTTTGTAACGTGGCCCTGCCCCTCCGGCACAGAAATTCCACGGGCTCTCTCTGTTCGAGGGGCCAAGGGAAATTTCAGCGGCAGAAACGCAGGAAATCCTGAATAGCGAACGCCGGGAGAAGGATCTCCCCTTTTCCACGGCCGCCCCCTCCCACTTCTCCACGCTTCCGGCACAACGATCAAACGGCCCCCGCGCCGTCCTGCATGTATCTGCACCAGGAACGGCCGTTGTTGTTGCTCTCGCGGGCTTGCAGCAATTCTCAGTCGTCGAAGTCGTGCCTGAGCTTTATGTACAGGCACGAGCCGAGAACGATGCCGAACAGCTCGAGAACCGACAGGCCCAGGCCAACCGCCCCCAGGATGATCAGGTGATCCTTCGTCGTCTCCAGAAACTTGTAGATACAACCCTGAACAAGAGAATAATTCGAATGATTCGACGCGTCTCTTTTTTTTTTTTTCTTTCTTTCGTGTCGCGGCAAGAGTGCAGCGACAAGTTAATTGATTATAATTGAAAGTGCTTTTAACTTTAGTTTTGGAAATGATTTAGTTGAGGAAATTTCATTTGAAAGTTCGTTCGTGGAAATTCGAGTAAAATCAATCGTTTTGAAGTAAATCTGTGGAAAATAGTATAAATTAGAAGTATTCGTTTATTTAAAATGAATGGGTTTCAACATTAATAGGAGTCAGAATAATTTGAATATCGAGGTATTGAAAGATTAATTATTGATATTAAATAGGATCGTGAACCTTCGTACAATCGAAGAGTTCGGATAGTAGAAGCTCACTGGCTTCCTCTATTCTATTCTTATTTGTTTGAACAATAAGAGATAGTAGATAATGATGACAAAAGTTGATCAATCATGATTTCGTATGTCTGAAACTCAACGTTAACTGGTTCTTATAAATGAAATTTTATCGTATATCTATAATATTAAAGCTATTGGTCCAAACGACAAATTTATAATTTTTAAATAGTAGACACTTCATAAATGTAAAACAGAGTATTTTTCAGGATTCAAATGATCTTTCGTAAAATGCGTGTATGTCTGAAACTCAACATTAACTGGTTCTTATAAATGAAATTTTATCGTGTATCTATAATATTAAAACTACCAAATTGGTCCAAACGACAAATTTATAATTTTTAGATAGTAGACACTTCATAAACTCAACATTAACTGGTTCTTATAAATGAAATTTTATCGTATATCTATAATATTAAAACTACCAAATTGGTCCAAACGACAAATTTATAATTTTTAGATAATGGACACTTCATAAATGTAAAACAGAGTATTTTTCAGGATTCAAATGATCTTTCGTAAAATGCGTGTATGTCTGAAACTCAACATTAACTGGTTCTTATAAATGAAATTTTATCGTATATCTATAATATTAAAACTACCAAATTGGTTCAAATTTGTAATTTTAATTTAAAAACGACAAATTTACAATTTTTTGATAGCGGACACTTCATAAATGTAAAACAAAGGGATTCAAATGATCTTTCGTACGTGTACTCTCTTGTATCGCAAAATTCTCTTTCGTTTTAATGTCTCTAATCTCTCGATATTTTGTGCTTCAAGCTCTTTCCAGCGCCAAGTTTCCGATCGATCGGGCGAAACATAATTCGAAGAAATGCAGCTGGCATTCTAACTGCGAAGGGCTAACGAATCGTTCGTAAAACAATGCTCGATTTATAGCGGGGGGGCACCGCGATGTGTTAAAGTTCGAAAAAACGTAAAACGTTTTCGTTTTAGAACCGCGGAGAAGGGTGGAATTGAATTGGACTGAAAATCGATTGGTACCGTGTAATGGATGTTGGACGGATGATCCCTCCTTCCGCAAAGGAGGGTCGGTGTCTTGCAACAGCTATCTGGAACGAGGCTTCCGTTCTTGAGGACATCCTCGCCTTTGTGCCACTCGCTCACCAGCCAGTCCTCGAATCTCACGGCTCCGCAGCATTTGAACTGGAACGTTCGTTTGCAAATAAAATAAACTGTAAATAAATATCGAGTACATTCTGGCTACAGTCGCGAGTATTCTCTAAATTTAATCTTGGGATATGACGAAGATTGTTTCAGGCTCGGGTATATGTTTATATTATTGTATTACGTCTATATATATATTTTTTATATATAAATACAGTTTTATAAATAATGGTTTTTATATATAATAAATATATATAAATATAGTTTTATATATAACAGTTATTTATATATAATTTATATATAATTTATATATAATTTATATATAATTTATATAGTTTATATATAAATATAGTTTTTATATGTAAATAGTTTTGTAAATAATCGTACAATTTTATTATTTTAGCAATCAAAGTCGTCGATACGACTGATTTTAGATTTTTCGTTCTTTACAAGTGCTTAAAAAAATACCTACAGACATTCTTGTTAAAATTAATATTAATTCTCATATTAATTTCTGATTGAACGAAGTAACACAATTATTAATGTTCACGTGTTACAAAAGAAGAAAACTCATTTACGTACGCCAACACTTTCCCGGCGGGATATTTGAAACGACAGTTGCGTACAAGTAAGAACATGTACTACAATATTTATTAGAACTATTAGAATTATAGAAACTTTGTAAATAATCGTTTTATTATTTCTAATGTAACCGATATGACTGTGATTTCAGAAACGTTTCGTTTCTTACAAGTGCTTAAAAGATACTTACAAGTGCTTAATTAGAATTAATATTACACGGGTTAATTAGAATTAATATTAATGTTTGGACAGAAATGCAACTGTACAAATCTATTTATTTCAATTGCCAATTGATACGATTGTTCCTATCATCTTGTTGTTGAGTTAGGTCAAGTCAATCGTATTGGCTGTTCCATCGTATCTTTTGTCCTAACAGACATTTTCATTTATTTATTTATAAGCCGTGTGTTCCACGTTTGGACGCGGCGTAAATGTATCTTGAGATGAGCATCGGGTTTCGCTGTCGAGAAGAAGAGGAAACGGATCGATGAATGGGACGGCCACGTTAATCGATTCGCGGAGAAGCGACTCGGGGCCATTTCGCGACGCGATAACGATGATTTGCCGTCGTAAACGTGGCGGAGTAACAGTGGCAGCGGTAGTCAGGGCATAGAGAAAAATGGCTAGGCGATATCGCCGTCCATGTGCAGGCACACAGTGCAGTCGTTTCAACGTACAACGAAACTTAATGACATTCTGCGTTGCGTTGGTAGATAGTGGCGGAGAAAAACGGTGAAAAAGGAGGATGAGCGAAAAGAAAGGAGGAAAGGAAAGAGATAAATAAGGGAGAGAGAACGCTCTGTGAAAGCAACTCTAGCGTAAATAGATATCTTTGAAAAGTTTTTTTGCTTTTTTTTTTTTTTTTTTTTTTTTTTTTTTTTTTTTTTAGAAGCGAACACACGTTCGTTGCATACGTTGCAAATCCGAATTAATACGTATGCACGTTCGTGATATCGACTTGGATGCAGAAAGTTAATTAATAGCTCTCGCGACAATCTGTATAAAGTCACGTGTAAGATCATACGCTACTGTACAAAAATATTCTGCAACTGGGTGATGTGCACAAAAATTATTTAAAAATTTACAAATGAGATTGAATCGAATATTTATCAATATTTTCTACAATTTGCTTCGAAATCGTTTATAGCGTCACTCGGATTGTTTTGTGCAATGCTATAAATAACATTGTCGAATATGCTTCAATAGAACAATTATTTATTATAACAAAAAGTTTGAACACTACTTTCGCAACCAAACCGAAAGAGATTAAGTTTATTACGATTAGACGACCTACTCGAAACGTCCAGCTGTCAGCAATTTTTCGGACAGAGTCAAAGCGACATTATTACGTTGAAAGTGGTATTGCTATAAAAGCGGGAACAGACTAAAAATGGAGTATGGGTGAAACTAAGGATCGCTTGGCAAGGATGCAGGAAAACTGAAGAAAACGTACACTGCGACGACTAAATAGCCTCGAGTATCAAATCGCTCGTAGCGAAGGACCATTTAAGGCCTCGTGCTATAAGCAATACCTCTTGGTGATGAAACTCTATCTGCAATCGCGGTAGACTGAAACGATTAACGTATTAGAAGGTTTAACTCGTTCGGTCAAACTACGAGTCAACAGTGACCCACAGAGCAAAAGGAGTTTTCTCGCCGATCGTTCGCCTATATATTTCTACGACACATTTTCTTATTCTGTTTCGCTTGATGAATTGCTTACTATACCAACTACGAATTCCCGTGGCGTCGCGTAATCGATGAAATTATAGCATGTGTTTTAGTCGTACGATGTACAGCTGTCAGAAGTCAACGCGGATCGTCTATGCGTAATTAGAGAAACTTGTTCATTTTCTTACGTTTAAGAAAAACTGCGGTCGCTGCGGTATAGATCTTAAATAAATACAATTATTTGCAGAAATACTTTACAATTAGGATGTAACTTTAACTAGTTTCCAAAATTTTCTGCGATCTGAGGCAAGAAATTTCTGAAAAGGTACACACATTTCTATTATGTTGAAAATAAAATTATTTCATTATCAAATATTGATTAAACATACAGCAGAATATAAATAATATAATTTTTAATCAATACTAAATGAAGGTATTGAAACTTAAATGAAATGTTGCAGAAAGAAATTATTTGAAAGAAAATGAAAGAATACATGAAAATATTTATTCGTACGTAATCACGATATAACATAGACTGATATAACTGGAGAATCGCCTACTTGTACGACTTGATCGGTCAATTAAATTAATCCGATAAAAACGTTATTTTATCAAATAGACAGACAGCTTATTAAAACGTGGCAGCGTGGTTGTATCGGACACAATTCACGCTTGAATTACACAACTTTATTAAAAAGAATATCGTGTCTATATAATGTATATTTATAACTCCTGCTTTAGTTCAGAAGATAGCTCTTAACCTTTCGAATGATCTCTCATCGAACCAAGAAAATTACATTGTGAAACACTTGTATCAGAATAAAATAAAATTTTTAAAAACCACACTAAAATTGCTGAGGGAAACGATTTTTAAAAATTTACAAACAAATAGACAAATAGAAGTCTTAAACAGTAAAACAGAGGAGTTCTCCGTTTTACATCCTGCAGAGTTTGCTCTAAATGTAATTCTAAAATCAACGATCGCTAATACAAAAATCAACGATCACCACCGAAGACAATAATTCCATCGATTGCAAAGTAAACGCCGTGAATAATAATCGGCGTTGTTAACTGTTCAATTTGGCGCGCAAACATGCGCTCGAGCAGACAAACGGTTGCGCGGCGACGGATTTAAGATCAAGCAAATCCTTCAAGCCAAGCGGTGAACATCATCGTTCGCAGTAACGTCAAATTACGATAATCTGCCGCGCACAATGCACGATCGACGAATCATCGTTCACTCGTGTCTTTGATCGCTAATCGTAGACACGATACGTGCATCACCGTTTCTTATACGAAAGAATGAGAAAGAAGCATTCTTACAATAGCGGCGGAAGAAAGAACGGGGAAGAAAGAGCGTCATTGTCAAAGGCTGTGCAGCGTTTATTTTTCACTGGTAACGAACAATAAACGTACATTTACCGAGAATTTCATAAACCTATAATTATTAAACTGTCATTTACGGTTTTACGATTCATTCGACTTCCGTTGCCAGTAATTCGATCTAGCCCAGGTTGTTTTCCTTTATTTAATTTACAACAGTTATAAATTACCTTTCTTGGAGAGAATAACAATACGTGCGGAGTCAAGTTGCTTGGAAAATCCTGATATTTTCAAAAATAGAACAAAAGAATATTTACCTCGTTCGGTACACAGTTCGTACTTAGGAGACACAACAGGTAGAAAAGGCACATACCGTTATTCCCTATCTTTGTGCAAGAGCCTTAGTTTTCATCAGCTGTTGACTGAGACTTTTATTGCCTTTCGGTCAGGAAATTTCTCGAGAAAAGGGACAGTTATTCTGTCAGGTAACCAATGTGTCAAACACCGGTCAAACTCTAGCTACTCTAACTATGCACATTCCATTCCGGTTAGCTCGAAACATAGAATATTTTTTAATATTCCAGTTTTGTTTATAAATTGTACGTAACAGCACGCTCCAGTTTTCCATTCTCACTGGAGAAAGAAATTTATTTCGAGTGAATTTGCGATGTTTTTCCTTAATTTCTCGTTTTTCGATATATTTGAAATATGTACTTGGAATTCTCCTCTCAAGTAACAGCTTACGGGTATTTCTATTTAAAGAAAATAATTAAATAATGAATATAATATAAGTATATAAAGATAATATAAATGATAAATAAATTCGGCAATGCTCTGTGTTAATGTAAATGAAAAAATTAATAATTCTGCCTCTTTCCGATAAAGTGGTTTCACAAAGCCTTAATTTCAGTCATCGAACGAATTTCGTAAGTTACCATGGTCTGATTCTCTCGGGTTTCATTGACGAGCGCGCGTGCACTATTTTAATTAAACGGCTCGCGTAAACGCTATTGTTTAATACGTTGTGGTGACGCCACTGGATAACTCGGTGCGGTCGTGAGAGCCCGCGCGTGCGTTTTCAAGTGCGACAGAGAGACCATCGAGGAGAGGAAAAAGAAAGGACGATTAACAGAAGGGAGAAGAGGAGAACGATCGTACGAACAGCCAAGAGAGAGAAGGTAACGACTCCCAGGCACGGATTTAGGCGTGGGATGGTGGAGTGGTGTAAGGATGAGGGCCCTTTCGCTCTCGATGCACGCCAAAGTACTGTAGTTCCCTGTTTGCCACCACACTGCACAACGTACTAGCAATTTTTACGCACGATTATAATATGTTACCCTTTCGTGTCGTTTCGTGTCATATTTCACAATTTACGTTACATTTTATAGTTTGTCCATAATTTAAAAATTTGTCCATTCCAAATGTACAATTAGTTGAATATTATGTAAGGAAACAATTAATTTGCTAAAATTAATGATATTTGTAATTTTTAGGTATTAGCACTATGTAAAATATTCTGTATAGTGTTTGTAGGTTTCGTCTTAATTCTTCGTATTCGCCAATTTTTACAAAAGCGTCCGGTTGAATTTAAGACGTCATCAAACTGCAAGAACGTTTATAAATTAAGACGAAACTCGATTTGATTTATCGAATTGATTGGCTTGTAATATTTTATAGTCGATTTATTAAGACCGCGTGAATTCAAAGTTCGGATAATACGTTCACTGCCTTAAAATACTTAAACTTTCCCCTATGCTGTGAGCTCAAGCTAACACCCTCCTCGACGTTTATTCTCGAGCCGGCTGGGGTAAGCTTCGTGATGCATAATGGAGCTGCCCGATTGATATCCAAGCAACCGTCCGAAACTTCTACAATCTCAAATACAATGTCGGCTTAAATTGTGGGCACAATGGATTGGTCGCGCAGCGAACCCACAAAACAAAGAGGAAGCTATTTAAGGCTACACACGTACATTCTAAATCAATTTCTGTTAATTCGCTTAATTACTACCGTTAAACAAACAAAGATTCTTAATCCCCTTAAAATAATTGAGATAATTTAAAATAATTGAGAGAATTATTCAGAAAATAAGTATCAGATAAAGTTTATGTCTACACGAATGATTATTTTTTGTTAATAAGTTGAAGAAACAAGTGACAACGTTACAAATGAGTATAGTTACATTCGATTTATTGCGTTTTATTCTATTTCACATATACATATGTATATGTAAATACATCGATATGTAGCCTGCAACAAGGCAACGCTGCGACCGATCTTTCGAGGCTGCTGTTGGAAAGACGTTCGAGATGACCGTGATTGTCTGAAACATACACACACGTATCAATCTAAACATCCGTGACACGTAACGAGGACTCGAAGAGCAACCTCGTATTCATCGGCACACAAATACAGAAATACGCGTGAACCGACCCATCATTCTGTATACGTACACGTATATATTTATATGCCAGCGTATTGGGTGTGCACACACGCTCGTACAACTTAACATGAAATCCCGTTTCAATATTCCCGATCTGTTAGATGTGTTCAAATTATTCGAAGAATACATCCGTTTTAACGGACATTTCAAAAATGAAAAAATTACAAGTTCATTTTATCTTTCTTTGAAATTTACTTCAAACAAAGTTAACAGTTTCTACAAATTAACTGCGAAATTTTTAAAAACTTATCATAGGACGGGAATCGATATTATGCACAAAAAGAATGACAAAATTAATCGATGTTATCGATGCGAGTATTTACGACACTTTAATTTTTATTAAAACAAGTTTTCAAGACAATTTACAAGATTCCCCACAAATTGTCTAAGTAATTTCAATTTGCTCGACTAATCGATCCTGTTTGTAACAAGATCGCGTTAAACATCCCATTCGAGGCGATCGGCTATACATCGTGGAGTAGTATGTACACACGATATACCACTATCGACAGAGGCACGCATACCCGTTGGTACATAAGTTCCGGGCGGCGCAAGTAGAAATGCCACATGCACCTCGGTTTCGAAGGGGTCTGCGTGCGTCCCGGTAGCGACAACAACAGCGCGGGAGCAGCCGAGAACGGAAGACGGAGGACGCTAGTGTAGAAAGAGACGCTTCTATGGGAAGGAAGAAAGAAAGAGAGGAGAGAAAAGAGAGACGAGACAAGGGGAAGAGAGAAGGAGAAACGGACAGACGTACTCGTTTCTCGGATCGAGCAGTATGTACGAGGACGAGAGAAGAGGACGGTGGTGATGTTACAGGGGGGACCTTTTCCCTCTATCGCGTGGCTCCACCCACACGCCGCCACCGCCGCCGTCGAGGCGCACAATCTGGCAACAGTGGCTCGCTATAACCGATATTGTGGCCGTGGATTGAATGGAGGGGAACTAGCTCAGGTCAAACCTCCCCACCGGCACGACAACCCCTCGGCCGGAGGAGCGACCCCTCGCCACTGTTCACTCTCCGTCGTTTCTCACCCCACCCAACCCCTATGCGTCCTTCTCGGTCTCTATCCATCTGCCTCCTTCCTTCCTTTTCTTCCCCCACCCGATTGAACCGCATCCTCTCCCCTTTCCCCTCCGCCGTTGCTACTCTACGCTTGTCGTTCGTAGTCGACCGTATCCCCACCACCTATCCATTCGACTGCCTGCGTCTCTATGAAGTGGCACACGCGTGTGCCGCAGGCCGCAGTGTTCGTGCGTCTGTGCGTTGGGTGCGAGTGTCACGCTTCTGCTAGATGCTGTTCATGTGCGCCTGCGCCTGTGTACGTGCGCGTGTGTAACTACTCCCACCGCATCGTCCAACGCTCTACCACTACCGTTAGTACCTTCATCGTAGTCGTTCCTTCAGTACTAATACCACAACCAACAGTACCACTACCATCACGTTGTCCTGTGCTTGCTGCTCGTGCTACTCTCGACAATCAACATCAGTGCACGCGCGCGAATGAGTATGTGTGTGTGAGATACAAGATCGTACGCGAATCGACGGACAGGGACACACACCGTGGATATACGGAGTGTGTGTATACACACAGCGCGCATACCCGATAGAGAGGGCGCGCGAAGCAGAAGAGAAACAGACTGTGCGGGGGGAGGGAGAGAGACGGACAAGGAGGGAGCAAGCAAGACCGATGTTGGCCCCAACAGCCTCTCACTAGACAGTATTACTTTCAACCGTTTAGTGGGGCCAATGCTACCCGGCGCGGAGTAGTCAGTCAGCCGAGCAGTCAGAGTCAGCCGTCCGCGAATATCGAGAGGACGCTCTCTCTTCGTTCGTGGGTACCGTCGTCGATGATCATCCACGCGACCATCTCTCAAATGTTTTTATCATCATTGTCTTTGAAGCGTCTGCTGCTGCTGCTGCTCCTGTCGCCGCCGTCGTTATCATCGCCGTTATCAATGTCCTCGTCAATTTTGTTAACAATTCGCCATCGTTACAGCCGTGACAGACTGTGAACCGTATACATGTCGCATAATCCGTGGATATATGAATAAAGTTTACAAAAGTGTACGAGAGAAAAAGAGACCGAGAGGAACAGAAACTTTCTAACGACAAAAGGAGAATAAGAAATAAAGAATGAAAGTACATAGTTTTTGTATATTGTGGATAGTTTGATACACATTAGACAATTTGCAATCAAACGTGTGGTGGTCAAGAACAACTTGGAGAAACAAAGTTGTTGTGTCGCTGGTGCCGCAAGGACACAATACCGGTATCGGCCACGAGCAGAGGAGTTTTACCCTCTCTTACGGCGCATCCGAGTCGCACGCGTGTGCAACACTCTTTGGTTCGAGTTCCGCACGTTCAGCCTGAGTTGCGGATCGTGTTCTCGCTTGTTTTGTCGTAGTTATGACGAGGTGATGAATAGACGGAAACGTTGCTGTGTCGAGCAGCGTGGTGACCGTGCTCGTCGTCGTGACGGACGATGACGATAAACGTAGACAATTTTCGTGGACGCAAGGAAGTGTGTATGTTGATGTGATCTAGTGTTTTTATTTCTTGTAATATACCGTTTGCCGCAAGAAAGGATTGGATTATATCGTGAACAAGGTGGTGTATCGACCGAGGATAATGCGCTTCTGTATCATCCTTTAGGTAAGTGTGTGTGCATCGTTTCATTATTGCACAGGTGCATGATGTAATTGCAATTACAAGTGGTCGTCGATTCTCTCAGGACAATCTCAAATTGTTACAGTGACACGATGAAGTACGAAATTGTAAATAAAAGAGATTTCGACAGAATTATTTAATGAAAAATTAATTCAACCGATAATTCTCGTTCAACGGAAATTGTGAAACTTTGTTATTTCGTAACGATGATTAAAAAAATTAATTGTGTTCGCGAAAAGTTACTCGAATTGTTGACTTCTCTTTATTTAAACATTTTCTTTTATTAGAAAAAAAGAAAAGAATGCACAATGTATGAAAAAATTCGTAAAATTGGATCTGAAATAAAAGATCGTCAATGGAATGGCTCGCGATCTCCTAACTCGCCACTTGCTTGTTATTACATTGCAGTAGTAGATATTCTAACCGGTAAGGCGCTTTCACAACGGGTGATTGTTCTAAAGATGTGTCACTCAGTCTTACTCGTTTCTCGAGCCGATCCCGGTTAACCGTGAGGAACAGAGTAAGAAGATGTTGAAAGAAGGAGAGAGAGATAGAAAGGTCTCGCATAGACGGAGACACGAAAAGAGGCAGAAAGTCACGTCCACTATAATCTTTGATTACCTACAGGATTGTAACGCATTATACTCGGCGTATTAACAGCTTTATGTGTAGCAACTATATACACTGTGAAATGATGCGCTACCGAATCAACTTGCAAACCGTTAGTGAGAACGTATTTGAATATTTTACAACGAAGGTGACTATATATTCCTACGAGAATAGAATTCGTTATACATTGCATTTAGGGGGAAATAGAAGATATTTTAGAATGTTTCACAAATTTGTTACACTGAATTTTTTTTCGCTTACATATTTACGTATTTATCATTGAGTTGTGCATTCTCGATCTTTTTTTTTTTTTTTTTTTTTTTTTTTGACAAATATCGAATTGTTGAGAGAATTTACGACCACAGGAAAAAATGAAAGTAGCATAATCCGGACTAAGATCTTAATAATTTATTATCGAAAAAAGCTTAAACTTTTCACGGTTAAATTTCTGATATCAATATGTATCGAATTACAAAATATATCATCGCATACGAGACAATAACGAGGGAAACTGAAAGTATGTATTATCAGTTGATCGTATGATTTGTGGAAAAGATGAACGATGTAAACGAATACGGCTCAGTCTCGATTGCTGGCTATCTCGCTTGCAAACAATAATAAGTATGACATTGTCACTGGCATCGTTATCAATGAAGGGAAACGAAGTGAAATATAAAAATATAAATAAATAAAAACGAAGAAGCAGAGAATCGTACCAAAAATAGAATTTTATGATTTAACAGAATTTTTATAGTTGAATGAGATTTTTATTATTGAATGGGCAGTATGCCTATTTTCGTGTTACGTGTAGTACCTTGTGTAGTAGACCGCGGTCTCTGTCGTATACTGAGATAATCTTGGCAATATTAAACGCGCAATAGGCTCCGCTATGCCCGGGCTATCTAATCATTTATCGCCAACAATCATATGCCAAGTCACTGTACTATCAACGATAGTTTGCCGAAACCATGTTCTCACGTATATATCGCGTAGAGAACGCCGCTCGCAGCAAATGTAATCGACAAAGGTATATAACAGCTCTCCGCCCGATAACCAGTCACTTTAACGAACCTAAAAACTATGTCAGGATCCCTTGACATTTATGTGCCGTTGCTTCGTGGCTGCAGCCTTGTGGCGCCCCGCTTTACTGCCAGCTTTTTATTAGTTCGCTTTTCAATGTTGTTTTCATATAACTTAAATTTTTCTTTTTTCTCTCCTATCTGTTAGTTTCGTATTAACATTTTGCGCTAATGATTCTGAAATGATGATTTAGATTGACATATTATCACCGGTCACGTTGACATGTGCATATTACTATCGCCACCAAGTCGTATTATCATCTGTCTGCAGTAGCTGTAAAAAGTATTTGCACGTCATTTTTATCTGTCGCAGCATTTACATAGTAATTAGTCAAGTTCAAGTGTATTAAATTTCGTATCATCTAACCAGTACTTCGCGTATTCTAACTTCTTCGGTGAATATCTTTTATTCGACTTTACAAAGCTACTATATACATATATGTACGTGTATATACAGAGTTGAACGCATTGCATCGATACCTCGCATTGCTCCGCGTACACCTTCAACCTAGTGTCCAGCGCTACATCTACGAACGTTGAGCTTTCACCTAACGCCATAGAGACAGAACCACTGTTACGAGCGCATATAGCCAAGGGGTGGGGGGATACTTATCGAATGTGCTCCGTGCACGAGTACGCGTACGTGCATCGAACACACGCGATCTCTGTCCATATGCAGAGAGGCGCGGTTGTTTGCTGTTCTCTTTCTTTCTCTTGCATTATTGAGTCTCCACGGCACGAGCACAAGAAGTCGGTTTCGTTGAAAGCCTTCTAATCTCGATACAGGCCCCGTTGCGGTGGCACAATATCAGAAATAGGTTTGTTGAAATAAGCGTACACTCGATGGCGCATACCGTGCTTCCCAGGGACGTATTACCGCGGGGGGAATCACCCGGTGGATCATTGGTGGGGATGCAGTAGGGAGAGCCACGTTCTATACTGTATACACTTTGCCCTTATCCACAAATAAATGAGGTCGACTATACCGATTCATACCTCGCGCGTGAATCTACGGATTCTTCAATCAGCGAGTGCTATTTCTTTTTTTTTTTTTCTTTCTTTCTTCTCACTATCTCAATATCTTTGTTTTTTCTTTTCCATTATCGTTGAATTTTTCTACGTGATAATCGTGTTTGGACGACGGAAGAAAGTTTTAGACAAAGAGTTGCCATAGTTTCTAAATATGTGCATGGCTATTAAAATTTCATACGTAGGAAATTTCTCGCGATTCCCGCACGAAGGCGTTACTGTCGTATCGAGCGTGTAGCAGATTACAGCTGTTTCGATAAAGGGGGTCGCTGCTATTTACCAAATTGGCAAATATCAGCGAGTCAAGAATATATCGTCATCTTTGATTGCGCACTCTTCTTGTGGAGCGAGGGTACTTATTTGTCAAGGACGACTATCAGACGCCTCGGAACTGACGAGGAATTATGTCAGAGGAGCAGCACATTATAAATTCACCTTGACGCGTTGGCACGTAGAAAATTGTGGACATATCGTAATTTTCATTCCTTTGGCAGCGTGTTCCGATGAGAATCACCACTCTTTCGTATTTCGTTCTTTCAATGATCCATGATCCATAAACCATAAACAAGAAGTTGAAAATGAACGTCGAAAATCGTCACTGCTACGCTATTGTATATAATAAAATATTTTATTATAAATTTCGAGATTAAGGCGGTTAGGTATCTCGTCTCGCGCGGGAAATTGAAATCACCATAGACAGACAGAAAAAAAAAAATCTTTCACGAAGAAATACAAACGATCATATCCTTCAAAGATGGTCGCGTATGTACCGTTTGCGCAAACGATTGGTTTACACTTACACGCGACGGAATCCGCTCGGATTATGAAACGTTTGTTTTGCCGGCGTAAAGCGGCCGTTCGCGAAGCTAGCTCGTGGTCTGACGACAATGGAGCAGCCTTCGAACATTATGTCCCCGCACACGTGTTCAAGGTGAAGCGTAATTAAATTTTCATAATTGTTCGTTGCATAATGAGCTCTCTGGACGTGTGATGGCGTTTGACGCGCATAAATCGAAAAGCAGCGAACAAATTCGAATCGGTCACGCTACACGCCATGTTCTGATCATGGTCGACATAAGACCTTCTCAGAATCCGTTATCGCTGTCGCGGACCCGCTTTTATCCGACTGATTACGCGTTGCTATGAAAGCCGATATAGCATTTCAAAGAAACGAAGGATAACGTTTTCTTTCTTTTAGGCGGTCCTTTTTTGAAGTTTAGGTTCATTATTTTGAAGAGATTATTTCTTTCGGTGTTTGAGTTTATAGTAATATATACGCCGAATGACACATGGTCTATAGCCTATAGCGAAAAGTTTATTTAGAAAATTAAGGTAATAACTTTTAGATTGAAGACTAATTATATCGAGCCAGTATGGTAGTATATATTTAGTTTCCTTTTTTTAGTTATCGGTTGTACTTACGTTGCATGCAGAGACGTGATCGAGTGCGCATGCGTGTGTACACTACGTCGAAAGCGCCAATCGCCTAATTTTGTTCCGTATACTTATGTCAAACGGGTAAGCAGGAACGTCGATATTCTCAGCTATGTATAGAGAATACGCTAACGCGCGCGCTTTGGTCATGTCAACCAAAGAAAATTATCGTTCACTGATTATACTGTTGCTTAGTCGTAATAAACTTATTAAGAATGAATTCCAAATAAACTTTTATATAAATACCGTAATATTTTCAAAGAAGCAACCGTAATATTAATTCTTATAAACACATTTTTGCATTGGTGTGCAAGCACCTTTTTTTAATTAAAATGATACAAACAGCAAAATCGTTTTATAGGATAAAAATTAAAAGATTTTGATAAATATTAATATTACAATAGTAATAGATAAATATTACAAAAGTGGCGAAATGGTAGTTCGAACGCACGTAAAAGATATGTTAATTTAGTAAGAATTAATCGCGCGCAGCAAGTCAGCAAGGTCACGTTCCACCTTATCCACGAAGACAGTAAACTATCAGTTGTCATTTCGCATATACGTTAATCGTTTGTTCGCGCAAGTCGGTATATGCATGTAGAAAAGATCGCAGTTGCTACGAGAAATATTATTCACAGCCCGTTTCTTCATGCTCTGATGATAACCATAAAAACATTGTATTTATATCGAATTTCCTCTGACAAAATTAATCGTCACTGTGACAATAATTTGTATATGATTTATTACGATGTTCAGAAGCGTGTTAAACTCGTTAAAGGGAGGGGAAAGGTAATTATATCAGTGCAGTGACGAAAAGTCCGTATCAGACAGAAG